TTGCTTGTTGAAAAAAATTAACGTAAAAATTTTTCCACGCACTTCACACCGAAACGCGATTAATCACATGAAAGAGAATAAAAAACCACATCATAATCTATATTACCTGCGTCAAATCACGAAAAAATCACCACTTCCCAGAACAAAATGTGTGATGTCAATTTTAATTATTTTTTACAAGGTGTTCACTTTGTTCTGCCGAGCAAAAATTAACACGTCTATTCAGCTCTGTGTCTAGTCAAAAGTAAGCTAATACAATAACAATTTAATGACATAAACGAAAACTGTCAAGTGCGACTGCAGCGCACAAAAAATGTTGACCAAATTACGCTACTTTACCCTACAATTATTAATAGAAATTATATTTCTAACTCCATGGGGGGAGGGGGGCCCGCGGGAGGGGATCCGCCGCCGCTGCCGCCGCTATTTTCTGGCGCGGTGCCGCCATTTTGACGCAGCAATTTTCTTTCTCTCTCCTTCTCACGCGTTTGAAGGTTCGCGTTCTTTCTCTCTCTCACCCGTTGGAAGATTCGCGTTCTTTCTCTCTCCCACCCGTTGGAAGGTTCGCGTTCTTTCTCTTTCTCACCCGTTGAAAGGTTCGCGTTCTTTTTCTCTCCCACCCGTTGGAAAGTTCGCGTTCTTTCTCTTTCCCACCCGTTGGAAGATTCGCGTTCTTTCTCTTTTTCACCTGTTTTCGTTCACATTTCCACGTTCGTGTTTCTCGTTTTCATGTTTATGTTTCACATTTTTAACGTTTTCGTTCACGTTCTCTCGTTTTTCATACAAGTAATGTATAATTATTATTACTATTGATCTTAGCTTCAAGGAAGGGAAAAGAAAAAAAAAATATTGTTGTTTTTTTAAATCAAACATTTTATTTTTTTCAAATCTCGCAATTTTTTCTAACGTTGTGACCACCAGTTCGATACTTTCACGCGTTAAACTCTGACACGAGATGCGGTAGCAAGTCGATCCATTTATAATTTCCGTGGAGCGTAAACTGTTTCCACATGTTGTTCTTCAACGTACGGTTAAACAACTCGACGACTTTCAATACAGAATATGTAGAACAGTGACTGATGTCATGTTTCTTAAAGAGTTTCTGCACGTTTGCATTTTAAAATAAAATAATTTATGATATAAATTTATT